GGCCCCAGCTTTTCTACCTCTTTAAAAAAAATGTTTATTTATGTACTTAGAGAGAGAGAGAGAGAAAGAGAGAGAGAGAGAGAGAAAGAGAGAGAGAGAGAGAGAGAGAGCATGCATGCGTGTGAGCAGGGAAAGGGGAGAAAGAGAAAGAGAGAGAGAGAGAGGGAGAGGATCCCAAGCAGGCTCCACACTGTCAGCGCAGAGCCTGACGTAGGGCTTGATCCCATGAACCATGAGATCATGACCTGAGTCAAAATCCAGAGTCAGATGCTTAACTGCCAGGGCCACCCAGATGCCCCCTATGGTTTTCTACTTTTAAACACTTCTCCAGGTGCTTAACTTACTCTGATCCTCTAGGGATTTCCTTCTGAATCAATGCCACAAATATGTAAACTAGAAATCATAGAGAATTTGTGCTCTAACTTCAGTGCTTTCTCCAGAGGATGATTTAAGGTCCTTGATTTATAAAAAGCTAACACTTAGAACTATCAGCAATGTCAAAGTTTCCTGATGAATTACAAACAATACTTGGATAACAAAAGAACACATTTACCTCTTTTGGGACCCTCCATTTCCTCGGATTGCCTCCAATTCCACCAACAGAGATGAAATCTGGGAAACGTTATTTAACACATGTAAGTTGCGGCAAATTCGCTTTTTTCCATCATCCCTCCCCTGAACTACTGAACTGGCCTCTCTGCCTCTGGTCATACCCCACTCTAGGCCATTCTCCTCTCTGCAGCCAGGGGGCTCTTTCTAAAATGCTGGTTTGTCACTTTCCTCCCCTGAAGGCCTGCTCCACAGGTTGTTGAAGAAGAGGACCCGTCCAATCTGAGCAACACCTGTTAAGCTTCCGAAGAAGCTCTCTGGGTATTTCTCACCCCCCTCAGAGCACATGTGAGTCCACATGGGCGCAGCTGGTAAGAACATGAGCGCGACTTGGGAGAGCCACTGGGTTCACTCTTCACGACTGCTAATGCGAATGACCTTTGGAAAGCCTGGAGGGCTGGAGTGCATCCCCAGAATGGTGGAGGAGTAAGAAAACCGGACCAGGAATCAGGAGACGAAGACAGCTCTTACTGTGCCGTCACGCAGCTGTACCCCTTTGGGACTCCTGGTGAAGGGCTTAGATTCGTCATCAGTGAACAAGCAGCTGACTCAGACGGACCCTTCGGTGCCCTCAGGGCTCTGTCCCATGCTGCTATTGTTAAAGAGGTCACCTCTAGACACCCTCACTCGCGAGGCTGCTTTCCTATCTGAACAAACACGCTGGGCAGGACCTGGGGCGCAGGACTGGACCATTGTGAATTCGTGGGGAGCAAAAAAAGCAGGCATATGAAACCCCTCGTGTCTTGGAGACTTGGGGCTGTGGAAAGTGCTCGGACTGCCACACAAACAAGCTGGCGAGAGGTCTCCCGAGAAAACTGTAGTGGGAGGGCCGGAGTCATGGTCCACAAGCTGGGGTCAAGTTCCAGCAACACTCTGCAGGAGTTTAGGTGTGTTCTACCCAAACTCCCTGCTCCACATGAAGCCTGAAGTGGCTTGAACCACTCTTTTTTTTTATTAAAAAATTTTTTTTTTTTTT